CGTCACCGACGTCGGCGCCGACGACGACAACGACGACGACGACGCCGACGAGGCCGGCGCCAGCGACGCCGACGACGCCGAAGAAGCCGACGACGCCAACGATGCCGACGACCACGACGGCGATGCGAAGGACGCCGACGACGACGACGTCAACGGCGATGCCGACGCCGACGCCGACGCCGACCGACGACGACGACCCCGATGACCTTCCGCCGCCGACAGCCATGACGACGCTGCCGACGAAGACGACGCCGACGACACCAACGACGTAGACGATGTCGACGACGACGACGACGCCGACGACGCCGACGATGCCGACGGCGCCGACGACGCCAACGACGCCGACGCCGACGACGACGATGGCGACGCCGACGACGCCGACGCCGACGAGGCCGACGATGCCAATTCCGACGACGACGACGACGACGACCCCGACGACGACGCCGACGACCACGACGACGCCGACGACGCCGACGACGCCGACGCCGCTGCCGACGCCGACGCCGACGCCGACGCGAACGACGCCGACGCCAACGACGACGACGACGACAACGACGACGACGACGACGACGGCGCCGAAAACGACGACGACGACGACGACGACGACGCCGACGCCGACGCCGACGCCGACAGCGACAGCGACGACGACGACGACGCCATCGACGACGACGACGACGCCATCGACGACGACGACGAGGCCGACGGGAACAAAGACGCCGACGCCGGCGACGACGACGACGCCGACGCCAACGCCGAGGCCGACGCAGACTCCGCTGGCGCCGCCGCTGCCGACGCCAACGACGAGGCCGAAGCGATGCCGACGCCGACGCCCATGCCGACTACGCCGCAGCCGCCGCCGCCGCCGCCGATGACGACGACTTCAACGCCGACGCAGCCGCCGCCGCAGCCGCCGACGACGACGACGCCGACGCCGCCGACGCCGACGTTGAAGACGACGACGCCGTCGACGCCGCTGCCGACGCCGACGCCGACGCCGACGCTGCCGCCGCCGACGCCGCCGCCGTCGCCGCCTCTGCCGCCGCCGCCGCCGCCGCCGCCGACGACGACGACGCCGACGCCGACGACAACGACGACGACGCCGACGCCCACGCCGACGACGCCGACAACGACGATGACGACGCATGCGCCGGCGATGGCGACGACGAAAACGACGACGACGCATGCGCCGACGCCGACGCCAGCGCCGGCGCCAGCGACGCCCTCGCCGACGACGACGCCGACGCCTATTCCGACGCCGACGCCGCCACCGCCAAAAGGCCGCCGCCGCCGCCGACGACGCCGACGAGGAAGACGACGACGACGATGACAAAGGCGACGACGACGACGACGCAGCCGCCGCAGCCGCCGCCGCCACCACCGCCGCCACCACCGACGACGACGACGACGACGCCGACGCCTATTCCGACGCCGACGCCACCCAAACGCCGCCGCAGACGACGCCGACGAAAGCACGACGCCGACGACGCCGACGACGCCGACGACGTCGTCGACCACGGCGACGACGACGACAATGACCCTCCCGACGCTACTCTAGTTTCGTCAGTCGAGGCACGGCGCTGAGTTTTCAACGCGTTGCACTGTGACCTCATGCGAACGACAGGCAGCGCGCGGCATGCACGAGCGCGGCGAGAGACAGAAATCCCCATCAACGTTATGTCGAGGCGAGGGCTGGCATTGGGCGAACAGAAAAATGCTCGAGGGGGTCGGCGGCAGCGGCGGTCGTCAACTTCGCCATTGGCAATCGCACGGCCCTCCCGAAGCCAAGCTTGTTTAGTCAGCCGAGGCACGGCGCTGGACGTTCAACGCGTTGAGACGTGACCTCGCACGAGCGGCCGGCAGCACACGGTGCGCGCGAGCACGCCGAGACAAGGAAATCCCAGACACACGCAAGAATAACGCTGTAAGCCGGCCCGCTGGCGAGTTACCGCAAGCTGAGAGAGGCCTCCGCACGGCGACGAATCACGCGCGCGGACGCATCCCCGCTGAATGAGCGATGACAAAGGGATCAGAATCAGAAGTCTTGAACAGCCACTTACCACCGAGCTTTCCACGAATGCGCACGTGCTTACGCTGAGCGAAAGAGCAGAGGCCCCCCGGCCATGATTTCTAATGAGCACCAGAGGGCGAAACACTGCGTTGAAGAACAAGCTTGGTTCTCTCGCGCGCGGGGCCACCCCCGGAACAAAATCAACATCTACGGCGGCGCCGCGCGACAGCGCTTCACGGCGGGAGAGGAAACGCCAAAAACATGAAATCCGGAGGCCACCCTCGCCTCAAGAGATGCCGAGCACCCAAGCAACTCGCTGGGCGCGACCACCCATGCCAATCATCGTTAGCATATCCCACCTGGTTTCCGCAGCGATCAGACAATCCTCGAAGGCCACGAAAATGCCGAGACGAGCGGAGAGGCGGAGGCACGCGGCCCGAGGCGCCAGCCCGAGCCCTCGCAGCGGCGACGCAGGGCGCGGCGAACCAGACGCCCCAGACCATGCCCGCCCGCATCCAGCCAGCGATCGCGGCCTCAACGCCCCTCCAGCCAAAAAACTCCGGCGCGGCGGGTCGGCGCGCGCTGCTCGCAGGCTGGCAGCAAAAGCCAGGCCAGCTCGGGCTCGCGGCGCCGCGCCCCCACCCGCGGGCGCTCGGGGGCCTGGCTGGCGCGCCATTGCGCTGACCCGCGCGCGCCTCTCGCAGCGCCGCGCGCTCTGGAAGGGGCGCCACCCCCCCTCTTCTGCATCTCGAGAGGGGACGCAATAGAGAAGCCTCGTCCTCCGAAGATCCGCCACGCCACGGCGAGCAGGGGGCCACCCGGGGCCCGCAAAGGCAGCGGCCCCGACCCAAGGAGGCCCACGTAGCTGAAGAGGAAGAAGCGCCCGCGGTCCGCCCGCGCGGCTCTGAGACGGCGAAGCGCGGGCTCCAAGAGCCGGCGGCGGGGCCGGTCGAGCGCGACGCCCTGGTCTCGCTCGCTCGCCTGCCCCCCTGCCACGCACGAGCTCCCTCGCGCGGGCCAGGATCGCCCAGCGGCGGCAAACCCCCGTCTCGCCAGGCACAGGCGGGATCAGCTGGAGGCCGACCAGGTCGAGGGCCTCGCGGGGTCGCACGCACGTCTCGAACGTCAGCAGCAGGTAGAGGGCCATGTTCCCCATGCGTTGGGAACACAGCCACAGCGCAATCAGCGCGGCCACCGCCCGCGGGACGGGGGGCCCTGACAGCGGCTTCCCCAACCTGCGCCAGCCTGTTACCGCCGCCGCGGCCAGAAGCCCACGGCGTAAGAGGGCGGGGCAGCATCGGCAGCGCCCGCCGCGCCGCCGCCGAGGCACCGGCGACGCCCCCCTGCGGCAAGCCCGCGGTCGCGCAAGTACTCCACGCGCTGCTCCAGAGCCGGGCCCTGCTCGCTCGCGGGCAGCTGCGGCGCCTTCCACGCGCGCAGCCAAGCTAAGAGCCGACGCAGCGCCATCGAGTAATTCACCCAGGGGGGGCGGCGTCACAGCAGCCGCGGCAAGGGGGCGGATGTGAAAACCCAGCCCTCCCGCAGCCTCGGCGCTGCGCTCGGTTTCGCCCAGGGCCAAGCCGGGGCGCCGTCGGGCAGTCGCCCGGCGCGCCCGGCGACCCTCGCCCGTCTCGCCGCGGCACGGCACCAGCCCTCGCGTCGGCCACGGCCCGAAGCAGCCCAGGCGGCCCGGCAGGGGGAATCGTCGCGGGCGACGGCCCCCCGAGCCGAGGTCAACAGCGCCTGGAGCAGGCGCCGCAGCGGCGCCGCCACAGGCGCCTCCGGGGGCTCCGAGGGGGGCTGACGCCGAGCCAGGCGCCGACGCTCGGTCGGGCCCGAAGGCGCCTGCACGGGCGCCAAAACCTCGGTCGCCTGCGTCATCGGGCCCAAGGATGTCAGCCGCGAAGGGGCCCGCAAAGGCGCATCGGCGGGCCCGACAAACTGCCCGCTGTTCGCCGAGGCGCCGAGGCCGCAGGCGCCGGCCGGCCTGGGGCGGCGCGCCCAGGCGGGGGCGATCGGGCGCCCGGGGAGCCCGTCGCCCGCAGCATCTTCGAGCCCTGGCGGCGGCCAGCACGGATCCTGGTCTGCAGCTGGGGCAATGTGCGCGATGAAAGCGACGACCGTGATGAGGCGACGACGGATCATGCCTTCTGCTCGGCTCGTCGGCTGAGTTCCACTCTGGCGGAATCCAACGAGAGGCCACTCGAGCTCCGAGTGACACAGTCATAACACAAAACTCGCGGCACCTGCGGAGCAGGCACCATGCGGAATTCCGCCCCGCGCAGGCTGTGAGGGCCCAAGCCATGGAGTCTGACGACACCAAGTGGCGCTTGGCGGCATTGTGGCGGGAACGAACAAGGCGCCTCAAATGCCAGGGGGCCGCCCCTGCCTCGAGCGCTGGGATCTCGTCCTTGCGCCGCCAACACCGAGCGGCCACGACGCGCCAATTCGGAACCACGCGCCAACTCAGCAGGCACCGCCTCGAAGGCAGCCCGCAGCCCCAGCGCCCGCAGCTGCTCGCCCGGGGCCTCGACGACGTCGGCCCAGAGGGGCTGGGCGCCCCCGCCCTCCGCGCGGCAGCGCAGGCGGCGCGACGCGCGCAACGCCCCTCGGCAGCGGCCTCGCCCCGAGGCGCGCCCCACCGAGCCAGCGGCAGAGGGCCCCCAGCCTTTCTCGGCGACACCGAAGCCGCGCAGCGACGCATCCACCGACGAGACGGACCGGCACCACGGCAGGCTCATGTCGGCGAAAGCCAGCGGCAAGAGCGCCCAGGCCGCCTGAAACCCCCAGCGGACCGAGGCCCACGCGCGGGCCGGCGGCGAGATGGAGCGGTCGGCGAAGACGCAGGCCAGCAGACGGACAGCATCTCGGACCGCAGCGGCAGGATGGCCGACGCATGGCCCACCAGACGGGCAACCCGACGCCCTGCGCGGCGAGCGCGGCACCAGCCACGCGAGCGAAAGGCCGGCGCCAGCATCCAGAACCTACGAGCCGCGGGGCGCCACCAGGGGCGCCCAGCTCGAAGCCCAGCAGCGGCGAGCCCAATGGCCCAGGACCCGCGTCGATGCCCGCCTCGGCCACCGCGGAGAGCACGCGCTGCAAACGCGAGTCGGCCTCCACCTGCATCGTCGCCAGGGCCGCGAAGTTGTCGATGCAGATCAGCGAGTCACCATGGCCGGGCCCGACGGGTGACCGAGGCACGCAATTCGCAGGAGACGGTCCCTCGCGAGGCAAGGCCCCAGGATGCGGCGAATCGCCCGCTGCAGGAAGTAGCCAGCCTCCGACCAGCCCATCGGCACCACGCGAAGTCGCAAGCGCACCATCCACTCCGCGGGACAAGGGCCGACTCGGCGAGGGGCAGCCGCAGGCAGGGCGGACCAGGGCACCGCTGGGAGCCCGAAAGCCTCGCGCAGATGCTCGGGCAGCATGAACTTGTAGAAGCAGCAGGCGACGTCGCCCTGGGCGACGCACAGGCGCTCGCTCTCCCGCGGCCCTACGACACCGGGGGACTGGGCCGCCGCAAGCGGGGCGCAGTCAGGGCCCGCGAACATGGCGCTGGAGCCCCGCGCGTCGAAGATCAGCCAAAAGGTGGGATCATTCTCGTAGACGAAGATGCACCACCTGCGAGAAAGAAGCGCCGACCTCCAGCATGTCACGCTCGAGTAGGTCGGCCAAAAAAATATCGCGGGCGCCGGGGCTGCGTGCGAGCATTCTATCAAGAGCCAAATGCGCACTCGACGCGGAAGAGGAAGTCGCGGCGCCCCTGATTAGCAAGACCCCAGCCCCACCAATCACCCAAGAGCGGACCGCCAGCAATGACGGCCGGGGTGGCCGACTCGGCGGTCAGGAACGACGGGCAGCTGCGCGCGGAATCGCAGGCGATGCGCAGTCTCTCCACGGCCTCGGCGTAGATGCCAGGCCCGGGCCTGGCCAGCCGAGGCAGGCCGCGCCCCCCCATCTCATCGAGGGTCTGCAAGCCACGCCGACACAAATCTCGAACTGGACGGCCACGAGGAGGGCAATTCAACAGCGAGGCGGACGGCAGCGGCAGCAAGTCCCTGGGACCCGCCGCGAGACCCAGCGGCATAGCGGCGGCGCGGACCCTTAGCCACCTCCCCAAAATAAAAAGGCGAAACCAAAACGGGCGCTTTCCCGGCACGCTGCAGGGTTGATCGACGGAAAGGAATGTCGGCCCTGGTCGCCCGAGCGACTGCCCGGGCTGCCAGTCTCGCCGCCCTTCGACTTGTCCTTCGGGGTCTTGTCTTCTTGTCTTTGGGCGCCAGCACGCGAGTCGACTTCTCCGCATCTGCTGCCAGCGCCCGCCCCTCTCTGCTTTTGCGGCGCTCCTCGAGCACCGCGGCCTGCTCCCCCATGCGCTCGGCCACCCAGCGCTCCTGGTCGGGCGACGCCAGCGCGCAACTCTTGGACCGCCCCACGCCCAGGAAGATGCACCATTCGGCCGCCAAGCCAGCAGCCAATGAGCACTCCGTTGAAGCACGCATGCGCTCCTGGTACCTCTGCTTCGGAACCTGCTGGCGATGGCCTCGAAGCAGGCGAGGTTGCGAATGTTGAGCTGGTCGTACTACAGCCCCCGCCGCGGCGCCTCGGAGAGGAACAGGCGCTCGCTCGTCGATGCCCGGGCCCGACGCGGTGGCGCCCAGCGCCTGGCGCCACCAATGATGGTGGGGCACCAGCGCCATGCCACTGCTGGCGAAGGCCCCCGCCAGCCAAGGTACCGCGCGAGGGCCCTCGATGGGCCAGGCGTCGCAGCAGGCCGCGCGCTGAGTCGACGGTCGCAACGAGCGCTGTAGGCGACGGCCAGGGCACGGATGTCCCCCTCACCAGCGGCCTGCTGGAGGTCACGAGGCAGTGGCGCCGGCGGGCACCGGCAGATGCGATACCAGGCCCCGTCACGACAAAGCAGCGCCTGACCCAAGGTGCCGAAAACGAAATCGGAGCTCTTGGCCTCGATGCCCTCGCCGCGCCTGCAATCGCCCACCGGCTCGCCAAAGAACCACCTCGAGCCGACCACACAGCACAGAGCCGCCAGAGTACCTGGGACGTAGAAGCTCGGGTCGTCAGAGGAGGCGGCCACCATGGAACCGTGCGCAGCAGGCGCAGGAAGAGGAGCAGCAGGGAGATCACCCATGGGGATGGCGCCCGCGGGTTCAGCCGCCGCGGGGGGGACATCCGCCCAGCCAGCGAGGTAGGCCTCGGCCCTCCGCGTCGGAAGGCGCCCCCTTCACGTATGTCCTGGACGCGGAAGGCGTAGCGCAGCGCCTTGTGCCCAGAGAGACGACTGGGTACACCACCAGACACACCGCTGGCCAGCGCATCCTCGTAGTCCACGCGGTGCTCTTCATACACGTCGCCATCGGGGGTGAGGACCACATGGCCGTCGGCGGTACGGCCCAAGACGAGCCGCTCGTGCCAGACCGCCTCTTCGCGATCGAAGAGCGCTCAGAAGCGGCGTCCAGCATCGAGAGACAGGGTCGCCGACATCAGTAGCTGCCCTCGAGGATCCACGAGCTCCTGCAGGAATGATGCTATCGCAGCGCCGAAGAAGCAGCGCTCCACGAAATAGCCCACGATCAGCTGGCCCAGCGCGACAGCGAGCAGCACCGAGGTCGGCCAGCCTGTCGCTCCGCAATCACACTGGCAGCCACAGACGGGAGCTGCCACGGGCGTCGGCCGAGCCAGAAGGCACAACAAGCCTATGGCGAACAGACAGCCGACAGAGGCCGGATCGACAGGCATCCTTTCGGACAGAAAAGGCTTGAGGGGGTTCAGTGGCAGCGGCGGTCGTCAACAGCACCATTGACAGTCGCACGACGACAAAAACGACAAAGACGAGGACGAGGACGAGGACGAGGACGAGGACGAGGACGAGGACGAGGACGACGACGACGACGACGACGACGACGACGACGACGACGAAGACGACGACGGTGTCCGACGCCGACGCCGACGCCGACGACGCCGACGACGACGACGACAAATACGACGACGACGACGACGACGACGACGACGACGACGACGACGACGACGACGACGACGACGACAAAAACGACAAAGACGACAAAGACGACGGTGTCCGACGCCGCCGCCGACGCCGCCGACGACGACGACGACGCCGCCGCCGCCGACGACCGACGCTAGCGCCGATGCCAACGCCGACGCGCCGGCACCGACGCCGACGACGACGACGACGACGACGACGACGACGACGCCGACGACGACGACAAAGACGACGACGACGACGACGACGACGACAACGACGACGACGGCGACGACACAGACGACAAAGACGACAAAGACGACAAAGACGACGGTGTCCGACGCCGACGCCGCCGACGCCGACGCAGACGCCGCCGCCGCCGACGACGACGTCGACGCCGGCGCCAGCGCCGACGACGGCGACGGCGACGCCGACGCCGACGAAGACGTCAACGCTGACGATGACCCGACGCCGACGCCGACGCCGACGCCGACAGGGTCGACGGCGACGACGGCGGCGACGACGACGCCGCCGACAGCGTCGAGGCCGACGGCGCCAGCGCCGGCGCCGACGACGCCGACGCCGACGCCGACGCCGATGCCGATGCCGGCGCCGCCGCCGACGCCGACGCCGCCGACGCCGACGCCGACAACGACGATGCCGACGCCGACACCGACACCGACACTGACGCCAACGCCGACAACGACGTCGACGCCGACGCCGACGCCGACGACGACGCCGACGCCGACGACGCCGAGGCCGCCACCGCCGCCGCCGCCGACGCCGCCGCTGACGCCGCCGCCAACGACGACGCCGACGACGACGACGACGACGACGACGCCGCCGCCGCCGCCGACGCCGGCGCCGGCGCCGGCGCCGACGCACCGACGCCGACGCCGACGCCGACGCCAGCGCCGACGCCGACGCCGACGCCGACGACGACGACAAAAACGACAAAGACGACAAAGACGACGGTGTCCGACGCCGACGACGACGCCGACGCCGACGCCGACGACGACGACGACGACGACGCCGACGACGCCGCCGCCGCCGCCGCCGACGACCGACGCCAGCGCCGATGCCAGCGCCGACGCGCCGGCACCGACGCCGACGACGACGACGACGCCGACGACGACGACGCCGACGCCGACGCCGACGCCGACGACGACGACGGCAACGACGACGGCGCCGACGACGACGACGACGCCGACGACGACGACGACGACGACGACGACGACTTGACGGGCCCGCCAAACAGGGTCGGTAAATCTGGGTTCCAGCGTACTCGAGTCGTACGTTTCCCCGACAGGACCATGGCAAAGTCGGACAAGGCTAAAGTCGGGGATCTCTGAGACTTGGCGGACCTAGAAAGGGTATCGGGCGCCGCAGCCGCTCCGGGGCGCTCCAGACAAGGTTCTGGAATGCTTTGAAACGATTTGTCCTGGTCCCAGCGCCGCCAGACCAGCACTGATCGTTTGCCCGATCTCGGGCCCAGGGGCCCTCACGGATCGAAAGGCGGGGTCGCGGGCTGTGTGGAGAAAAAAACGCCATCGTCAAGATCATTATAATCGTCATCGTCATCATCATCAGCATCATCGTCATTGTTACCACCACCGTCATTATCTTCATCGTCAGCATCAGCACCATCATCATCGTCATCAGTATCCTCATCAGCATCAGCATCATCATTATCAAGATCAGTATCATCGTCACCATCATAAGCATCAACATCATCATTACTGCCCCTTCTTCCACCACCACCATCATCAACATCATCATCGTCACCGAAATCCGCATCATCGTCATCGTCACCGTCATCATCATCATCATCATCATCATCACCAACAACATCACCATCATCATCATCATTTCCGACGCCTCTGATCACCTACCGTGACAGGCCAAGAATACTAGAGACGGCCACGCAATAAAAATCATAGTCAACGTTAAGACTGGACCATTTCAGAAGCTCGGGCTCGCTTGGCCACCACTATACTGACACCACGTCCACCACTATTGTCCATCATCACTGCCGTACCACCACCACCATCATCATCACCACCCTCATATATAGTCAAGATCAGAACCATCGTGATCATCCACATCATCGGTATCGTCAAATCCATCAGAACCATCATTACCGCCTGCATTATCATCTCCATCGCCACCGTCATCATCATCATCACCAACACCAAGGTCATTTGCATAGGCATCGTCATGATCGTCGTCGTCATCATCGACATGATCAGCACTATGGATACCTCCATTACAATCGCCATCGTCATCACCATCAGCAGCATCATCAATACCATCATCATCAGCATCACGATCATCATCATCCATCACCATCATCATCATCATCGCGGAGATACTTATCAACGCCACCATCGCAGTCGGCATCGTCATCATCATCATGATCATCATCATGATCATCATCACCATGGTTACTAGCACCACCACCACCACCACCACCACCATCATCATCATCATCATCATCATCATCATCATCATCATCATCATCATCATCATCATCATCATTATCATCATCATCTGCATCATCGACATGAAGATTATTATTTTGTCAAGGCAAAAGAACCCCAAAACAGCATGTGCTACACCACGTCGTCCCGCACAAACGGAGCCAACACGGCGGCGGCCACGTCGTTCCGCACAATCGGAACCAACACGGCGGCGGCAGCTGCGGATTACCCTACAGCGCCAGCGCCACCTGGAATCGAGCTCATGGGAAGGATCAGTATCATGATCATCATGATCATCACCATTATCATCGTCGTTGAGATCATTATCATTATGATCACAACCATCATGATCATCATCATCAACATCATCATCATCATCACCATCATCATCGTCAACATCATCGCCGTCATCATCATCATCAGCATCATCATCATCATCATCATCATCATCATCATCATCATCATCATCATCATCATAATCGTCATCGTCGTCGTCGCCATCATCATCATTATCATCATCATTGTTACCACCACCATCATCGTCAGCATCGTCACCACCACCACCATCGTCGTCATCATCATCATCACTATCATCATCATCATCATCATCATCATCATCATCATCATCATCATCATCATCATCATCATCAACATCATGGTCGTCATCATCATCATCATCATCATCATCATCATCATCATCAGTCGCCTCTCCTCAGGCCACGGTGGCGCGCCTCTCCGCCGGTCACGGTGGCGCGCCTCGTCGGGCTGAAGCTGAAGTCGCCTCGACCACGCCAGGGGGGGGGTACGAGCTCGGCGAAGAGCGCGGCCGTGAAGGATACAATCATACGGCAGACTCGTGTCGTGACGACCTGCGCGTTGGGCTCTGACATCACGTGGATAGTTCAACATTGAACGATGGGCGGCTTTCCGATCGCCAGATCGTTCCATAGTGGTCGATTCTGGGCCACTGGCGGCGCTCAACATAGAACGCTCGCGGCAAGGTCGCCGCCGCGTCGACACGACACGAACCTACCATACTCGTCCGTCGTACTCCTCCACCTGCGTCGTCGTCGTCGACGGTCGAGATGGAGGTTGTAGCGTTCTTGGGCCTGTTCGGGACTCTGCAAGCCCCGAAGGGGCCTCTGGAGGGCTCCGGAGGCACGAGGTCGTGAGGACCCCGGCGTTGGTTTCTAAGACGGCGTGGATCGTTCAGCCTTGACTGATCGGCGGTTTTGCGATCGCGAGATCATTCGATCTTGGCCGATTCGGCCACCAGAGGCATTCAACCTTGAACGCCCGCGCTAGGGCTGTCACCGCGTCGGCACGGCACACACTTCGAGTAGGGGATCGACTACAGAAATGACTGACCCCAATATGAATCGGTTCGTCGAATCTACGAGAGAAGTGCGTAGAATGCTTGTAGATCTACGCAGATCATACGTATGTTGTACCACATTCGATGGGAAAACCAATCTTGGGGTAGATCAATTTCGCCACTCGAGAAGTTACGAGCATGGCCCCGAGCATCTGCACTGGCGAGCCCGTGGGTCACTCGCCTGGCCACGAGAACGGGCGCGTCGCACCTTTGCTTCCCAGGATCGCTCACACTGAGCGTGCCCCTGGGCGCCCCAAGTGTTCGAATATGGGACCGACTACAGAACTGGTGTACCCCAAAATGGATTTGTTCGTCGGAATCATGAGATACGCGTATCATGTTCGTAGATCGACAAACATCCCACACGTGGCTCGACGACAAAATCGATATTGGGATAAATCAATTCTGTAGTCGATCCCCTACTCGAATTGTTTCGGCGCCGTGCTTTTGCAGCGCGTGGCCCCTGGACCTCCCGACACCCTTACGAAGAGGCACCCCCCAGAAAAACAGGAGCGCTGATTCGCAAAAGCGCACCTCGGCCTAGCCAGGGCGCCGGGGGCCTCGGAGTCCTGTGGACGCCCTGGGAGGTTCCCCCGACCGAGGCCCAAGCAGGATCAAAAACGTCCAGAAGCGCCCCCCCCCGAACTTCGACCAAACGCGCGGCCATGGAGGGGTCCCCAGACGTGCCTCTCGGCACGACCGAGCTTGGGCACGGAGAGCGGGGGGGACGAAGGCCGGCAGCAGGCCCCCTCCTGGCTCCACCGGCTTCGCGGTCTGTACCGCCGCGGGCGTCGCACACTCGAGACGCAACGCTCGCCGGCCCAGCAGCGGCCCCGCTCCCGACCCCCACAGGGCGACGGACGTGCTGCTGGACGCGCGTGCGCGCAGGGGGGGCCTTCACGGGAGCGCAGGTCGTCCTCTGCGGCCCTATCCTTAACGCGATGTCGACTTAATCCCACCAGCCCTTTGGGCGTGAGTGGTTTAGAGAGCCCGCTCTGTCCTCAACCCCCCTTCTTCCCCTTCGGGGAGGGGTTTACCCCTCCCCCTACCCCCTCCCCCTGGGCCTGGAGAGGGACCCCCGCGGGTGGTCAGAGGGGTCTTTTTCGGCTCCTGGGAGGGCTAAAAAACGACGACCCTCACGAGGATTCTGGCCCCGACGGGGGGAGGGAGATAGGCCCCTCTCCTCTTCTTTCAAGCTAAAATCATTGATTTTACTACGGCTTTGGCCCCATTTTGGCCTCCTGAGGGGGCCGCGCTCATCTTCCTTCATAGCAAATCATTCATTTTACGAATGTTTTGGGCTCATTTTGTCCTTCTCAGGGGGCAGCGCTCATTTGCGCTTCTGACGAGGTCGCAAGAGGCCCCAAGATGGCCCCAAGAGGCCCCCAGGAGGCTCCCAAGAGACCTCCAAGAGGCCCCCAAGAGGCCCCCAAGAGGCCACAAGAGGCCCCCAAGAGGCCCCCAAGAGGCCCCCAAGAGGCCCCAAGAGGCCACAAGAGGCCCCCAAGAGGCCCCCAAGAGGCCCCCAAGAGGCCCCCAAGAGGCCCCAAGAGGCTCCAAGAGGCCCCCAAGAGGCCCCACGAGGAGCCCGAACGACTCACACCAGGACGAGGGGCCCGAACGACTCACACCACGAAGAGCCCGAACGACTCACACCACAAGGAGGGGCCCGAACGACTCACACCAGGACGAGGCGCCCGAACGACTCACACCACGAGGAGCCCGAACGACTCACACCACGACGCGGGCCCCGAACGACTCACACCACGAGGAGCCCGAACGAGTCACACCAGGAGGAGGGGCCCGAACGACTCACACCAGGATGAGGGGCCCGAACAACTCACACCACGAGAAGCCCGAACGACTCACACCAGGACGAAGAGCCCGAACGACTCACACCACGAAGAGCCCGAACGACTCACACCAGGAAGAAGGGCCCGAACGACTCACACCAGGACGAGAAACCCCAAACGACTCAAACCACGAGGAGCGCTTTCTCTCCCTCCTCCTCCGCCTCGTCCTTCTCCCGCTCCCCCCACAAGGAGGATGTACAAGGAGGCGGGAGGAAGGAGGAACAGGGGAGATATGCGGGGCCAAGCGGACACACGCCTGAAAAACACGACTGTCGGCATGCTTCGCAAGAGTTGCTGCTGTGAGATGGGCTGGTGGGGATACGCGAAGCGTAAAGAATTTCATCCATATTTCGCCACCCTTCTTCACCCTTTCGTCCAGATGACGTCCAGGTTTCGCCCAAGTGTCGACCGAATCCCCAAACTTATGGGACCCCCCTGAAGCTCTCAGGGTGGAACACGCAATAGCGAATCTACGGTCAGGAACCTTGGCTCCGCGTCTGGCGCCGCCGGCTCCAGCCCACCACGCTTCGGCGCGACGCGCTATCCACTTCCGGGTCGCCTGGCGTCCACGTCCCAAGCCTTTCCCAGCCTCCCGCCCCGCGGAGCAGAGCGACACGCTATCCGCTTGCAAGGCGTAGCATGTCGCCGGGGCCGCCGCATTTCGCTTCACCTTCGTGACTCCGAGTGTTGGACGACATTTGCTGTTGGGGCACCGCATCCGTTGGCCTGCCATCGCTCGGACATCCATTCCCCACGCATTGTTTGGTTTCGCGGCATTCTCTCCAGGTCTCACGATGATCCAAAATTATCAGATGGCCCATTTTCTGGCGCTGGCCTCCCCCAGGGAGGGGCAACGACATGGGGGGACTAGCTCAAAGGGGGGAGCATCGCTTCGGAATCGGCGATACATCGCCGATGGTTCGGCGAAAAGCCCCCGATGGCAAGTCCGCACGTTCCTGAGCGGGGCAGGGCTATTACAGTAGGGGCCAGTCCACAAGAAACCTTCCACGAGAAACCCAACCCTGAGACCCCAGGATGTCCATTGATGTTTGGTGTGGGATCGTCACGCTCTCCATGGCAAAAACCATCGAACCCAAGAAACCCAGGGCACCTTGGAGGCGAGAGTGGTGTTTCTTGGCATGGGCTTCCATCAGCGGTGCACAAACCTCCTTTTAGTAAAAGACCCTGTAGTGAAAACGGCCCAGGACCGAAACCGACGGACCTGGACCCGCAAAGATGACGGCCGCGACGACCCTTCGCGAACCGAAAACGGCCAATTCGCTAGTCGACGTGTCAGGCTGTTCGGGTAGGAGGTCTGTCAACCTCCGATGCCTCTGCAGCTCCCATCGGCGATCCAGTGGGCGATTGGAGGCCGACGCGTACCCCCCTGAGCCTATCCCTCCCTCCCGCTGCCCCCGACAGGGAAGCCAGCCCAGAGGCCGGAGGCGCCGAACGGCCCCTCCGACGAGCCCTCCAGGGGCCACGACAAAACCTGCGGGCCTGCGGCGGACCCACGCCGCGATGCCTACCCTGGGTTTCTTAATAAGCGTGGGGGGTAGGACCAGGAGGAGGAGGAGGAATAGGACGAGGGGGTGGAGGTGGAGGAGGGGGAAGACAGGGAGAGGAAGGGAGAGGAGGAGGAGGAGGAGGAGGAGGAGAAGGAGGAAAAGGAGAACCAGTAGGAAAAGGAGAAGGTGGAAGAGAGGACCCCCCGACGGGGGTCAGCCTCGCCTCGTCGTCGCGCCGCGACGGGGGTCGGAGCGCCTTCGGCGCGCGGTGGCTGCCCGCGACGGGGGTCGATGTGGGGCTGTCGGCGGGGGTGACGCCCCCCCGACGCTTATTGAAAAAATCCGGAGTATTCAACAAAGCGGAGGGGATTGGCCTTCCGACGGGGCTTGCCCATGCCCCCGCCTCCAGCCCCTTTGCGAATGCCACAGAAGCGGTCGAGACACCACGACAAACACGCCCCAACCCCTGAGTTCAGCAGTAGCACCGACACGAAGATCCGGTGCAACGCGACGAAGTGGTAGCCAAACGCCACTCCTCCTCCTCCTCCTCCTCCTCCTCCTCCTCCTCCTCCTCCTCCTACACTTGCTCCTCCTCCTCCACATCCTTCTTCTCCTCATCCTCCTTCTACTCCTCCTCCTCCTCCTCCTGCTCCTCCTCCTCCATTCCTTCTCCTCATAAATACTCCTCCCCGTCACACCCCGAAGCTCGTCGAAAGGGCGGGCCAGGTATTTCGCCTGAGACTTCCTCACCATTTATGACCCTGAAGCTTACACATTGACCATAATCTCACCGATGTAGGGCGAGTCGCTTCCAAAGTGTGGCTCTCGCCTTAGCGACGCGCGCATTCGTTACAAAATTGCAAGAAGATTACCGATTGAGGACGGGTGGTTTTCAAAATGTGATTCTCGCGTTAGCGCCACGCACCTTCGTTCGAAAAGATTGCAACCATTTCACGGATTGAAGGCGGCCCCTTTTCAAAATGTGGCTCTCGCCGTAGCGCCACGCAAACTCGCCTTAAACGTTTGCAACAGTTTCACGGATTCC